GAGCGCGCCGACGCGGCCCGTTTTGTTCTCTGTGTCTTCTGTAGTGGCCGGCCATTTGGGTCCCCAGTTGAGCATCTTTCCATGTGCCTTTTGGCCATTTGTTTTTTTTTCTTTCTTCTTTTTTTTTTTGAGACACGAGTTCTCACTGTTGGTTGTCCAGCGCTAGAGTGAGGTGCCGTGGCGTCACCTAGCTCACAGCAACCTCAAACGTCCATGGGCTCAAGTGATCCTTCTGCCTCAGCCTCCCCGAGTAGCCTGGGACCTAGCACAGGCATGTGCCCACTATGCCCGGCGTACAATTTTGTTTTTTTATATATAGTCGATAATTGGCCAATTAATTTCTTTCTGTTTATTAGTCAGAGACGGGGTCTCGCGCTCTTGCTCAGGCTGGTTTCTGAACTCGTGACCCTTGAGCAATCGCCCGCCTCGGCCTCCCCAAGAGCTAGGTTACAGGCGTGCAGCCCACAGCGCCCGCGCCCTTTTTGGCCATTGATCCTCTGGGCCGAAGCTTTTTGGCTTTTGAAACAGAATCAAGGTGTGAATCACTAGGGGTCACGTGGCGAAGTCTGGGGACATTTTTTCGGGTGAGGACAGGAGGAGGGTGCTCCTGGCATCAGTGAGTGGGGAAAAAGGGCCCCCCCCCCCCCCCCCCCCCCCCAGGCGGGGTTTTTTTTTGTTTGGGCGGGCCCTTAAACTAGAAAAAAAAAGGAGAGAACCAATTGGCCGCCCCCTTTTTGCGGGGAAACAAACCCCGGCGGCGGGGGGGTGGGGGGCTTTTTTTTTTTTTCAACAAAAAAAAACAGCCCCCCTGGGTTTTTTGTTTTTAAAAAAAAAGTTTTTTTCCCCCAAAGCCAATCTTTTTGGGGGGAAGGGCCCGAGGGCGGGGGAGGAAAAAGCAAAAAAAAAAAAAAAAAAATTTTTTTTTCGTTTTTTTTTGGGGGGTTTTTTTTGTTTTTGTTTTCAAGGCGAAAAAGTTTTTTTTTTTTCCAAGAAAACCAAAAAAAGGCCCTGAAAAGGCCGCCAAAGAACGGGTGGGGCAAAAAGACCCCCGTTTTTTCTTTTTTTCTTTTTTTTAAACTTAAAAAATTAAAATTAAGCGAAAAATTTTTAACCACAAAAAAAAAAACATTTTTTTTAAAAATTTGGCGCCAAAACTATTTTTAAATTACTACTTAAAGAAAAAAAACAAACATTTTTTCTTAAGCCGGGCTGCCAAAAAAAATTCGGGTGGGGGGGCGGCCAACATTGCCCCTTGGTTTTAAAGTCCCCGCAAAGCTTAAAACACTCGGGAAGGTCTTTGGGGAAGAACAGGGGGCCAAGGAGGGGGAAGAAAAAAACAAAAAAAAAAAAAAAAATTATTTTGTTTGTTTGTGTGTTCCAGGATATAAATAATAGGATTTTCGCGTATTTGCTTGGAGAACCGGTATCTCAGGCCCACATATACGAGTCAACCAATGGGGGACGCAGATTTACGAAGTATACGTATGAGGGACAGGTATGTTAAACTTGGTAAGAAAGTAAAATTTCAAGATGATTCTACCTTGCTAACAAAAAAAAAGAAAGTAAAATAAAAATATAGGCACCGCGTGATTGTAATCATCAGCTATGTGTGGGACAACAGAGGTTGTATCCCTCTAAGGTTTTGGGTCAGATAGAATCCTGACACCGTGTAAGGAATGCTTATTAAAAGCTGGTGTGCAATGAAGGCTGCACATTAACTTACGACACGTGGCCACACGCACACCTAAGTACCAGTACCCACAGGTGCCATCAGCAGCCCATTACACAGATGAGAGGGCTATGGGGGTCACTTGTGTCCCCTAAAAATGGATGTCCACCCAGAACCTCACAATGTCACTGTCTTAGTCCGTTTGTGCTGCTATTACAAAATACCTGAGACTGGGCAATTTATGAAGAACAGAAATTTGGCCGGGCGAGGTGGCTCACACCTGTGATCCTAGCACTTTGGGAGCCCGAGGTGGGAGGATTGCTTGAGCCCAGGAGTTTGACACCAGCCTGAGCAACATAATGATACCCTGTCTCTAAAAAAAAAAAAAAAAAAAAAAATTACAAAAATTAGCCAGGCATGGTGGTGCACGCCTGTGATCCCAGCTACTTAGGAGGCTGAGGCAGGAGGATCGCTTGAGCCCAGGAGTTTGAGGCTGCTGTGAACGAGGCTGACGCCACGGCACTCACTCTAGCCTGGGCAACAAAGTGAGACTCTGTCTCAAAAAAAAAAAAATAGCACCGAGGTTGAGAAATCCTGCTGTAAACTTTTGTCTCTGAACTTCAGGGAACTCATATATATTTTTAAATTCTCTTTTCCTTCCAGGAATAAATCACCCTGTTTCTCACATTTCTGGTGATAATTGTTGTTTCACTAGCAACGTATTTTGTATAGTAAGTCCATTTTTTTACTCTTTCACTTTTTTTTTTTTTGCTCTGAACACAGAAATTATGAATGGGCAGGGCACGGTGGCGTCACCCCTTAATCTAGCACTCTGCGGGAGCCGGAGGCGGGGATCGGCTCAAGTCAGGAGGTTCGACAACCGCGCGGAGCAAGAACTCCGTCTTTTTGTGCAAAAAAAAAAAGAATAGAATAATAGAGAATGCGAACTAAGAGATATGAGAAAAAATAGCCGCGCCCATGGTGCACATGCGATTTCTCCGAGCTAGGGGGAGACTGAGGACGGAGATCGTCGGAGCCAGGAGTCTGAGGTGTGCTGTGAGCCTAGGTTGGAGCGTAGCGCGAGCAGGAGAGTCTCTACTCAAAAAAAAACCAGAAACAAAGGAGAGAGGCAGCAGGGGACGGGTGCAGGTGGCTCAGTGCTGCAAGTCCCGCAGTGGTGGGGGCGGTGGGGAGGATCGCTTGGAGGCCAGGATGAGACCAGCGCTGAGAACAGGAGGATTACCCGGGTTAGAAATAATTTTTAAAAGAGTAGAGCGCGCCGAGTGCGGCAGCTCCTGCGAGAGGCTGGGCAGGAGGAGCGCTGGAGCCCAGGAGGGAGGCGTGAGCAGCGTGGATGCACGCACGTCGGCGAGGGGCAGACCAAGGCGAACGGCTGTCTCCAAAAAAAAAAAAAATTATTTTGTTTGTTTGGTGTTCCAGTATTATAATAGAATTAGGATTTTCGCGTATTTGCTTGGAGAACACGGTATCTCAGGCCCACATATACGAGGTCAACCCAACGTGGGGGACGCAGATTTACGAAGTATCGTATGAGGGACAGGTATGTTCAAACTTGGTAGAAAGTAAAAGTTCAAGAGATTGGCTAACAAAAAAAAAAGAAAGAAAATAAAACGTATAGGCACCGCGTGATTGTAATCATCAGCTATGTGTGGGAGACAACA